ATGTTACGGTAAAAAAAAAAAAACTCGATGTGCGAATAGAGATAAAGTGAGAGAAAGAAAGAAAGAAACGTCGGTGCAAAGCGTCGTAAAAGAAAATTGTAAAAAGCAAGGCGTTCATCCCTGACAATAACTCGTCCACGTGCGCTCGGTCTATCATATTCGCGCTTTTACGCGCGCGCATTTGCGTGCATAGCCAAGTGGTGTGCAAAGCGAGAAATCGCAAATAAAGAAAGAAAAACCAGGAATGAAAGAACGCCGTAAGGAAAACGAAGGGTTGGGAAGGAAGACAAATTCCCACAAAATCACGTCTTCCACAGAAAAGACGGCAGCGACGATCGTCGTCCTCGTTGTCGGTGCCGTTGTCGTTGTCGTCGTCGTCGTGCTCGTTCTCCGGTCGTACAATGGTCGTCGCGCGACCTCGGACACGAGGAAGGCGGCGCGGCCGGATCGCCAGGCGGGGACAATAGCTTTGCCGACGACTTTGTTGTCGTTGCGTCGGGTGCTTGTATTGTTTGTTGTCGCCGGTGGAAAAGCACGCGGAGGAAAGAGGATCTAGAGCGAGAGGGGTAAAGGTGGAAGAGGAAAGGGTGGAAATGGCTGTGGGGGTTACGCGGAAAGTCTGCAGGCGATTTCTATTGTCGGCCGCGAAGCGCTCTCTCGGTCGCCGATATAATTGGCGCAGCCGCGCGTCGGATAACTCTGACGATAACGAGGACAAAGAAACGGCGCCGCGGAAGAAGACAATAGAGAAAGGAAGACCCCGAGAAAATCCTAAAGGTTGTCGAGCATCGAACCATCGCTCTCCCCTATCGGCCTCTCCCTCGCGTTAATAGCACACGAATCCCGTTTAATTTGACAGATTCCGCCGAGGAAGTGAAAGGAAGATAGAGCGACACGACTTGTATAATAGCTTTGAGTTTCTTAATGCACAATAGTTGCGACTATAGTAGCAAATAGCCAGTAAATTGCTTGACCTATTTGCGATGGTTTTACCTCTCCGTGGTATACACCAGAACCAGGCAATTCCTCGATTGGATCGTACATCTCGTGCATCTTCTATTAACTCGCAAGTTTTCGATACGTGTGTGGTAATATACACGATGGCATATCCATGCCATCGTGATCTGCGTTAGAAAGGTGATATGCTGTATAATATCTCATTACGTTGAAGCGAATAAATCATATAATGATAATATAATTAAATTATATCCTCCATACTCATATTAAAAGTGGAATTGTTAATTTGGCAGATTAAAGAGGCTATTAATTTATGTATTCACTAAATTCGAAAATTAACGATAACTCGGAAGTATCGACCGAAATCAGATTGCGCTAAATCATTTTAATTTATCTCTTTACAACTGTTATTATTATGAATAAATATATATGTATATAGATTCTGAAAAGGGAGAAATTAACTTAATGCCGATATAATTATCTCGCTTATTGAAAAAATACGAAGTTTTACGAAGTGAAATAAAAATGATTTTTACTAAAAGAAAAGCTCATTCACATCGATTTTATTTTGAATAATTATTGAACGAGAATCTTTCAATGAGAAGAATGGGTGATTAGAAGATAACGATGAGACAATTCAGAGAAATTTATTTAATTTTGTCTTTATCCGCAGTCTATCCGAACATCGACTGTTCAGAGATAACGTTAATGACTAAAGACAATATCAAGGTTGTAAAAGAAAAAAGAAAGGACAAAAGACGACACAAAGCGATTGATCACAATTGTACTAATCTTCAAATATATTTTTTCGTTAGTGAGCGACTGACTTACTGAACTCCAACAGGTTCATTGGTTTAAAATGCATCGCGAATAGAGACAAGTGGATCAGAATACGGGAAAGTACTTGCCGACCACTAACTTCGTCCCGGAGTTCCGATTGCTCTTGTAATTGACGACTCTGTGAAAGATGGACTTTCTAAGAGCCACCCCAAGGCGTCGATGGTAATTGCAGTTTGATCGTGCCCTTACGGCGAACTTTCACTTAGTTGCCTTGTAATAAGTCTCAAGTTCGCTTGCCAGTAACTTTAACCTCAGATAGTTAAAATTTGTAAAAATTATAGAACTGTCTTCTTTATAAATTCTTTGTAATTCAAACGTGAAATAGAAAACTTGGTATTAAATTATAAAATAAAAGACGTATTAAATCTTTGCGTAATTTCAATTTTAATTTATTAATGCTGATGCATAATAAAAAGCATTATTTCAATGAGACATTTAGCTTTAAATATAAAATGAAAATATGTATATAGAATGATACGAGAAAAGATCGAGTTTCGAGAATTTAAGAAACGTTTTTCATGCATATATGATTTATTTATAGATAAAGATTCGAAATATTTGATATTCCATAGCACTTCTGTTTTACATTTATTATTTTAAAGTAAATCATTACAAATCAAAGTCGATCAAAATATTAATCAGACGTGTTTTGTTCATTTTCGCTCTTAAAATATTGTTCTAAGATTAGCCATGAATTCTCGAGAAAGTTATCTAATAGCCAATCAATATATATACAATGTATACTCAAAATTTTTGTCATATAACAAAAATGCAGCAATGAAATATCAACCTAATGTCTTTAAGACGACAAAACGTACGCAATTAGAAGGTATAAACCCGTGTGAAGCTGACCCCCCAATATTAAAAAATCGATTTTTTAATATTGGGAGGTCAGCTTCATACGGGTAAGGTATAAGTGTAAAAATATATTTTAGTAGAGCTCGGTTACTATTTTACTGTTTATTTTTGATTTTTTATTTTTCTCTGACAGCGCGTGTTTCTTTAGGCATATCGCAGATTGGCCACCTCTAATCTATATAATATAATTCTATTATATATTATATCTTGTATGTTATATTTTCTTTATAAGATTTTTCATTCTACATTTTTTGTAAAATAAATTCTGCGTTTGCTTGAAATAAACAACTGAAAAGTCGTTATTAAATCGGCTCGAGTAAATTGTCTTCATCTCGTCGTACGAGCACCGTCGAAACGGAAGCAGGACAATCGCGGGAGTTGTTCGGAACTTTGTACGTCGCGTCGCCAACTTAGATTTAACTACGAGTTCACCCCAAGGATTAATGTAGCGCCGTCGTAATTACATGAAGAACGGGAGCGATGTGGGTCGTATCACGTGTACCTCGAAACAGGTCGAATTAATCTTCTTGCTTGCCCCGAGGCTGAACTTCACGCACGACTTGTGCATCGTTCCTTTGACGCGCTCAATCTCTATCGAACATATCTTTTAATTGGATATCGAGCAGATTCGTGGTGAGCATACAGCCTATTAAGATCCACGAAGATTCAAATGTCGCCATAATACACTGAGGAAGATAACTTGACAATTTATTTGTGAGATGTAACGTTTATTTCACTAAAATAAATCCTTACTTAAATGTGGTGAAATAAAATTTTATTTCCTGACAAATATACCATCATATTTATTTTTTTATAATTAATGAGAAATATTTTATAGAAATAAATATGATATTTCATTATTATGAGTATTTTGTCATCATAGTTACAATTTTTTATAGCCACTAAATATTGAAAAAAACGTCACATTTGCTTGTGAATATTTTGACTTGTTTTTCTTATTGTGTCAGTGTATTTCATAAATATCGTTTTGTTTCTCTTAAAATAGATTGTTTTGTCGAATGATTACAATTTCTCTCTTTTGGCAGATGTTGTTATCTTTTTAATTAAATTCAGTGATATTTTTTCTTAATTATCAAATAACAGTTAAAATGTCAAAAACACAGTTATTATAAAAAATGGAAAAAACTGAGCGTCCATAAATAGTAAATTAGAGATTTTTTGCGTGATGTTTATTCCTTTATTCCAACACCCAAAAAGCGAAAATGTCAAATGAAATCGCGATTTGTTTGATCTTTTTGGCAGATCTTTTCAAAAGATCTCCGCGCGGTATATTGAATTCTGCGATTCCATTCCTGATCGCATCGGCATTCCGGCGCATCTATCCATATCAGCGGGCTGCCTTCCGAGAGACGAAAGATCTGTTTACCGCGATGGGAAATGGGAACGGCGGCATGACCGACCAGTTTCAGTGGCTTCTCCTAACTTTCGATCCCGCGAGACCAGTCGCCGGATACCCGTCTACGATCCACAGAGGGCTATCCGGATCTACTCTACGACACGTCCAATATATAATTGACGAGCCGCGAAGTTTACCTCGTATCAATGTAAAAGACGTGTACACTTCGAATATTTTGACATCTCCGATACGTGAATATTTTCGACTGGATGTTATCTCCGTATAACTAATCCATGTACATCCTACTCTCTATATATATAGTATTATTTGATTATTTTGATATCTAAGAAGATCATACATCTTGTAGATGAATAACGGATGAAGCAGTCAAAAATTTTTGATCGATTATACTCAGTGTGCAAACACGTCCGTACATATAAAAGCTCAAACAAATACAATTAAACTCGTGCAAGCATATGAGCTCACTGTGAACTCGCGCTTTATTTAATATAAAAAAATGTAAAAATCATGTTACCTGGTTCTTAGGGAAAATTAATGCAATGATCTTGCAAATTCATGAAAATATAATAACTTGGAATAATATGTGCTCATATAACATATGCTTCTTAAAATTGTTACATTATTATGTGAAATATCACATTTATTATAATTTACCTTTATGTATGTATGTTACAATTATTATAAGTACAATATATTCGCTTTTCAGGGAATTTTCTTAAAAGATGCATCAATTCCCGTCTTCTCTTTACAATATTATCAGCCTCTTACTACATAATGCACCGACTACTTTAGACTTTTAAGCACTCGTACAATGGCTAATGACTAAAGATGCCTTCCTTTGTGATTACAGCGGAAAATCTACCGATGGGTTTCCCGATGATTACTCAAGCGCCGACGACGAAGGTAGTCGAGATGGGCCACAACGCGGTCCTTCTTTGCACCGCGGTCGGATCCCCGACACCCATCATCTCCTGGGTACGAGATATGCTGCCTATCGACACGTCAAATCCACGATACACGGTTCTGGATTCCGGTAAGTAACCACCGCCTGTCGATCGCGCTGCGATCAATCTTTAACATCGTTCGACGTCGTTGTCGCGACGCGTGTCCCCGAAGGTTCGAACCGGTTTTAGAAATGCCGGCTTTAATGCAAAAAAGTGCTACCGCGTGAAATAAACGACATTATCGTGGCGAGCAACGAACGTTGCACTTTATTCATGAGACGGGAAGTAGGCCGATAAAGGCGGAGAGGTGAGCGCGCGGGGAGAGAAATATAGTGTACGTGAGCGATCGAACGATGACAAAGGCTATGAAAGATAGAAAGATTAAGGGTGTTTGGCGGGTACACAGGTAGGGTAACAATAGGGCCGCCTCATCGGCGGCGCGCGACCAGTGGCGCATGTCATATCTCGTTGAGTGCCCGGGTGCGTAAGTCACTGTCAACTCGCCGCGGCGTTGATCGAGTGGTCACGCGATACGCGAACATCCAGCACATCCATCTCGTTTGCCGAGAGCACACCTGGCTCTCTCTCCCTCCCTCTCTCTCTCTCAACTCGCTCGCACTCAGCAAAGCGCGCTTCGTACCCGATCATACGCGCGTTCATAACCGGCTGTAAACCGTATTCGCGCTATACTTTGCCCGGTGCACTTGCACGCTCTTAAAGCGGCGTCTACAATAAGATTTTAAAGTATCAAACTTAAGCTTTAAGCCTTAAGTTGTAAAAAATTGACCAACCACAGTTGAATATGAGAACAATGATTGGTCAATTTTTTTACAACTTAAGGCTTAAAGCTTCAATTTTACATCTCATTGTAGACGCTGCTTAAGGGATCCTGAAGTTATCTATTTTATTGATTCTCTCTCAGTAGGATTACATACGATTTACGTGTCATTGACACATAAATCGTATGTAATACTACACACTGTACATCAATATTACATGTGTACAAATTTTTTAACTAATCTTTTATATAAAGTATCTAAGGCTGCAAGCACATACTTTTGCATAACGCATAGTGCATAAAATATAAGAAAATCAACCAGATCTTTTATATTTCATAGGAAGAAAGAAGATGAAGAACTTTGATTAGTTCATTTTCTCTCTTATGCATTTTCTATGCAACTCTGCCCTCACCCTAATCCAATTCTAAGAACTCAATATTGTTTGTTCGTGTAATCCCTAGTTCAAACTAAAATAGTTTTATACATACGTATAAAGTTTATAAAGCAAATATTGTTACGATGCCAGAAGTTGATAACAAAACTGTAATTTTCTAAATTTCTTTCATTGTTAGTATAAAGTTGATCTATTTGTCTGAACTATACATTACAGTTTATACTTTAATTAAAGGAAAAGGATTTTTAAATCTAAATGTGTGTATGTGTATGTACCTATATAAAAACATTTGGAAAAATACTTATTTGAAAAATAATCGATAAAATACAAGGCTCCTCTTAATTCGACTTGCGATCCACTCGGCATCGCTTTGATTTTGACGACAGCATCGATAAAAGTTCATAAAAGTTTCGTCAGATCATATTTGCCTAAGTGGATATCTTTGACGATGATCTCATTTCAAGTCGCATTTTACGCGATATGGCTTGCTAATAATCAAGTATACGAGATGAGGGAAGCAACTTGTATACATATTATAATATATATATATATATATATATATATATCGATGTATCTTTGTTATTTATAATTCAGAAAGAACAATATAGTACATAGCGTGTCTGACCGCTGTAACTACTGTCACATTTGACATGTACGAGTGCTTTAAAGATCTGCTGATGCACATTAATCGATCTTGCTAATGTAAATATAAAATGTTAAAGATCTTTTTATAAGCGTAATTTCATGGCAATTTACTACAAATGTATATTTGCGTGTTTTTAAAAACTCTTGTTTACAATCTATCTAAATACAGTATTCGTTAATGCAGAAATGACTGACTCGTGACTACCGGCATTTTAAAAGCATAGACGTATATACTACTTTTAAAATCCTCAATCTACGCGTAAGACGTTAAAAACGAGTTACTGTATAATCTCATAGCAATCTGCCCTCAATTCTAGATAAAATATCCTGATTGCGACATAAATCTGATTTATATCGAGTCCTAAAAAACTTTTTATTGCAATCTTTCTCTGGCATATTTCTCTTCGTACGCTATAAAAAAAATATGTAAAATTACATGAATATTATATGTCAGAATTACAAAATTTATAGTGAGAAAGTAAAATTATTTTTACAAAAATATATTGTTATTTTTACTTTTAATATATCTTTATATAATTAGATGGTAAATTATAATACTAGGAATAATAAATTTTATAATTTCAATTTTGAACACATTTACTGAATAAAAACAGAACAATTAGCGATTTCCGCAATATTTTAACTAATAAGAATCTATTAATACTCGACAATAACTGACAATGAGTCTATGTAAATTGCACATATTTTTATCAGGAAAACTGTTTTAGAACCATTGAGTAAAGCTATCAAGTTCTTATTCATTTTTTAGGCAGTATTGTTACAATTAATGAGAATACACAGTAATACTAGACAGTAATAGAACGGATGTTTAAAAAAACTGTATACATTTCTAACAGAATGGAAAATTCCAAAATTATCCATTATAATTGTTGTAATTTTACACGTAATTTTTGTTACAGTGTAGTTAAATCTAATTGAGCAGGAAGAACGTTCTCGGTCGTCGCATCATTGCTAAGCGGAAACTTCCCTTGCAAAATATATTAATAATATCCCCCCGAGCAAGTCGATAAGGCGAACGAATAATTTTCTCACGCATTGCAGAATTTCGTTTAAAGCGCGATGCTTCCCATTATCTTTACCTTTACCGCTTGTATAGGGCATGCCTTCATGCGCTACGCACGTATATGCGAATACGTTTGAATAACGCTCACTTTGTTTTTATCGTGCGACGGTGGTATCATTATCGAGCGTCACGTCACGTAATACCAACGTGCACTTCCCCGGACTATCTTTACGGTGCTCGCCGCAGTTTGCCGCGACGTGAAAAGTGTACATTAGATGCGGCGAAGCCGCCGCTACATGTACGCGACGCGTATACACGCAACACATATGCAACACACAGCATGCACGTGCCTCGTGCATACAGTGGCGCGTGTGCGCGTTATGTATTATGGATACGTTTGCATAGCCTACTGACGGCATCCGCATGCATCTCGGGGCCGTGTACGAACGAGCCGTCGATACTAAAGTTACTGGATGCATATATATATATATATATATAGTGACTCAATATAAACATTTTGAGTTAAAATGGCGTCGGATAATGTACACTTTGTAATTTATCTTACTTATGAAAAGGACAATTTTGTTGAAGTAATTAAAAATTTAGCTAGCACAGATCTGAAAATAACTTTGTTGGACTCGAAAAAATTAAACAGTCGTTATTACAGTCGTTCAAACCGATTACGAAAATGTCAAAACTCTTTGCATTATTACTTATCGTGTTTGAAATTTCTTTATAATTATTTTGACGGCTTAATAAAATTATTTTTAGATCTGTATCCAGCGATCAAACTGACGTTATTTACTGTTATTTTGATGTCAGAATGATATTTTTGATGACGTCAAAATAATTTAACGATAGATAGCTTGTTCGTTAGATCGGTAGCTAAATTTTTAGTTCTTTAGCAAATTATTTCGGTGTAAGTGATAAGCATCTTAACAATAATTGCATTCAGTTTTGAATTTTACTACGTTTTGAGGCAAATGGTGGATGAATTACGCTACTCTGTACATATCTAATGACTTTAATCGATACGGGGGTGTGCACGGACAATACGATGATCTTACTAGGAATTGCCATAAAGAAATTCTACTGAAGAGAAAACTCGTTTGTGTGACGAGCGAGATGCATTCGACTGAAAACTCGATCTATGGCTGACATGCGTGCCGGTCCACCTGATAAAGCTGCCTCTTCTGAAATCGCGGGACGATCGAGAATAGAAATCTAAATGAGATCCACCCCAAGTGAGTCGACTCGATTCCTACCCTGGTCGTTTCCACGATCGATAGCTGCGATAATGAAGTATGCCGGACGTTATGTAAATTCGTGCGGCATCGAGGCGGGCCGTTACGCGGCTATTATTATTGTAATTAGATGGGAGGAATAACGGTGTGTATTTTTAGTGTTTTTGCACCACGAAGGAAAGTTTGCCTATTATCGTTACGATTCACACGGCGATACTATCCTTAATGGTTGCAACAGTACAATGACAATGAGTTCATTTAGAATACAGTACAAATTTTCTCGAATTTCATTAACAGTTTCTATTATTGTTTTGTGCTGATTATTAAAGACAACACTAAGAATATCCAAATGAGAAAAAATATAGAAAATGGCAAAAGTTAGAAAAAAGTATATGAATTTCTGTTATTTAATTAAATATATTTACACACTAATTGGTTTATCACTACATTATACAATAAGCAATGCTTGCAATATTTTCTTGAATTTTATTAACAATTTCGATTACTATTGGTGCTGATAATATTATTACAAACAGCGCTAAAAATTAATATTTAAAATTTGACACTAACACTTTAATGATAACTAAATTTAACACGATATAGTTTTAGTATAAAATGATATATTTAGGAACAGTAGCTACTTACATTAAATTAAATTTGACACATAAATTTAACAATGTAGAATTAAGACAGTTTTGATGATTAAAGTTTGAAGAAGAAATTAAATTTTAATTTAATTGTATTAGTTATTTTGAATTTAATTATATTAGTTGATCAAGGTAAATATAAACTGTTCGTGATATTTTAAAAATGATTTGTTATAATTTCGTAAGATATTAAAATAGTCATAACTCAAAAAGGATGTTTTTTGTGAAATAAAAATGACACTTTATATATATATATATCACATTTCTAGAGTATGATCTTTTTGTCGATATTATTTAATTAATCAATAATTTTCTGTTAAATTGTTCCCTTTTCTGGAAAACTTAATTTTGTTTAG